TCCCGGTCTATGAACGAGAATGGCTCCCGCTCCCGTGGTCGGGGGGGGGGGGAGGAAGGGATCCTTATGGCATCTGTGAGAGGAGACGAAGGTATGAGCAGAGATCTTGGGAGTTGGTCCCCTTATCAGATGGGGGTGGCGTCTGGGGATAGGGGAGAGAGACCTGGCTGGATTCTCCTCTCCCCCCAAAATAATATTTGGGTGGATTTTCTGGAGGGGATCAAAGGGATCCCAGATTCCAGACAGGAAGAGAGTTTGGAGCCTGGGAAAGGAAAGGAAAGGAAGATTTTGTAAATCTGAGAGGGTAGAATAAATGAGGATTAAACGTTTGTCCAGGAGGATCCTAATAAATTAAAAAAAAAGTGGTGCTGGCATCCCCCTCCCAGGGAAGCCCCCCCCTCACCTCTCCGGTCAATCAGACGCTCCTCCCTCTTGGCCGCCTCGTAGTTGTACACCCCGTAGTTGTGCCGGCAGAAGGAATCCACTTCGGCCCTCTTGATCTGCATGTCGACCTTATCGCTGTTCCACTTGTCCACAGCGGGCTGCCCCAACGGTGTGACGGCCACGTATTTCCCGAGGTCGCTGTCGAAGTAGGCGATCTCCTGCCGATCGTAGATGTACCAGTCCAGGAACCGCACCCGCTGCGTCCCGTTGAAGAAATGGCAATCGTGCTTCGCCTGGAGCAGGAAATGGGCTGCATGGGGGAGGAGGAGGAGGAAAAGGAGGAGGAGGGCCGTCAGGAGGGACTCCAGGGTCCATCGTTCCCAGCCACTAGCAAAGGAGGGACCCATACGAGAAGCGGGAGAGACTAGCGGAAGGCGCCCCCTGGAGGAGAGAGGGGGAGGGGAGGAACTTCCTGCGGGACCTCCTCCATCGTCTCCGGGTGGAAAAAGGCAGGCAGAAGCTCCACTGGTCGAGCAGATCTACTCTCTGCAGGGAGCGTTGGATCTAAAAAGGGAGGAATTATGGAGGGAGGGGGCTGAAACTTTCTGGAGTGGAGGGAAAGTAATATCCATACCCCCCCACTCTCTCTCTTTCTTTGGGGGGCGGGGAATATGGGGAAGGGGGCACAATGAGGACATCACCAATGACACTCCTGAAGGGTCCCAGCCCTTCAACCACCCACCTTCCCTGGATCCCCCCAACTTATCTTTTACCCCCTCATTTTCAGCCCAACTCCCTGCCTTGGGACGATTTTCGAGATTCAGACTTGTGTCCTCTCCCCTTCCCCCAAAAGGCCCCTGCAGCCCCCCCAGAGCCTCACAATAGGGATTGTTTTGGGGAGCCATGGGGGAGCAATTCAGAGCCCCCAATCCTCCTCTCTCACTTCCCCCCTCCCCCAGGTCCCGATAGAGCAATGCAGGATTATGGGGTGGGGGGGTTTCTTGGCCTCCTCCCCAAATTCAGAGCCTCTCCCAGAAGGGACCGAAGCTCAACTCCGGCCTGACTTTGAAAGCCTCAAATTTGAGATTTGGGAAGAAAAATTGAAGTCTTTGAAGAAGCAAAAATACTCTGGCCAAAATGCAGCTTTTTCCTTGTGTGGATTCAGGTCTGAAAATGCCTCAGTTTCCCTCTTTCGCTTTCCCTTCCTCTTTCGAGGCAGCCGACTCCGACCCAGCCACTTAGGGGGGGGGGCGAGAGAGGCCCCCGGCTCCGACACCCCACCTCGGCTACAATGGGGAAAGACGGGGTCCCTCTCCGCCCTCCTGGGGGGGGAAGGGGAGAGGGAAGGGGGAGGAGACCACGCAGAGATCGAGGCTGTTGCCGGCTCCCGTCACTCTTACCGTCTGAAGACCTAGCAGCTTTCTTCCCCCTCTCCCCCCACGAGTATTGGGGGTGCTTCCCAGCCCCCTCCCCAAACCTCCTCCTCCCACCGCCCAGCCCCCTCCTTACCGGGGCTCTCCTTCCCCCCTTCGCTTCCGGGGATCCGGGCCAGCGCCCCCACCAGCAGCAGCGTCAGGGGGAGCCCAGAGGAGCCCATGGATGCTGCCCCACAAGCGCCCCCAAAGGGAGGGGAGAGAGACGCGGAGGCTCCCAGCCCCAGAGCCGGAATCAGAGGATCTGGATGGAGGTGGAGTTTTCCTCGAACTTTGGAACTGGGAGGGCCCAGTAGAAGCAGAAGGACCAATCAGAATTCTCCCTTCTGCAGCGTCATCAATCTCCGGGCAGGGTCTCCTTTGATTTCGCCCGATAGAGGAGATAGTTCGGCGCAGAGGGAGAAGCGGAGAAGAGGGTAGCTCCGTTCCTCTGGGTGGGAGTGGAAGGGAATATTTTGCCAAAAGAAGAGAAAAAAAAATCCACATCCATGGACGGGATGTATAAGAGGATCTGAGCAGGTTTTCTCCCTTGTGAAAGATCTCAATATTATTTTAAGAAGGACGGATGGATGGACAGCATATTAAACCAAACAATAAATTTATAATTTATAAAATAACCCGGAATGTTAATAGAAATTCTGTGGACTTCAGTAATTCTATATACCCTCAAGTATAAGATTATAGTAATTATTCACAAGATAGATATATTTTGGTTTGGAGAAGATGGATAGATTATATTGAGAATAAATATGGAACTAAAAAGTTTCATTTGGTTTTTGAGTAAACTTTAGATTGTTATTGTAGTTTATTTCTTTTTAATTAGTAACAATAATGTTTAATATGTTTGTTCAGAAGAGAGCTAAAGGAGGTTATAGAATTGTTAATTTAATAGTGATATANACGGAGGAGATGGATTGTTTAAGTTTAGAGTTTGGAGTTAGAGATATTAATATTTGTTTACTTGTAGTTGAATGTTAGCCTAGGTTTGGTTTGGGAAGTCCGGGGGGTGGGGGGATGGGATAAATCATTGTGTAATACTTGTGATGTATTTCTTCTTTTATGATAAAAACAATAAAATTCTATATTGAAAAAAAAAAAGCATCACAGGACCACAGGGATGCTACAATGGTCCTAAGTGTAAAAAACAGTCGTAAGTCACTTTTTTTCAGTGTTGTTGTAACTTAGAATGATCACTAAACGGATAGCTATAAGTCGAGGATTACCTGTACTCGACGTATTGTTATTTCACCCCTCCTTTTTTATACGTAAGTCAAAATGGCAAATATACCTAATATCCCTGCCTCCTATTTCACAACAGCCCTATGAAGTGGTTGGGCTGAGAATGAGTGCCTAGCCCAGGAGTAGGGAACCTTGGCTCTTTTATCACTTGTGGATTTCAGTACCCAGAATTTCTGAACCAGCCATGCTGACTCAGGAATTCTGGGAGTTGAAGTCCACAAGTCATAAAAGAGCCAAGGTTCCCCACCCCTGCGCCTAGCCCAACATTGCTAGTTGGCTTTCATGCCTAAGGGAAACCTAGAACTCACAGCCTCCTGGTTTATAAGCCATCGTCTTAACAAGACACGAAATTGATTCTAATAATAATAATTGTAGTACCAAGGGACAGCAGAAAAGAAATAAGAGAAAGTCACAAAATGCAAAGACCTGCAAACAGAAGAATGACCATGGCAAAAGAAAGCAAAAATAGTACCAGCTGTAAAAGGTGCCTTAAGTGCAATCCCAAAACAAGTGGAGCCCAGCTTGAACCCCACTGGCATTGACAAACTCATCACCAGTCAACTGCAAAAGGCTCAGATTATAATCTGCAATGATACTTTTAATGCCATCAAGTAACAACATCTGCCTATTTCAGGTCCTTCGGAAGGACTTGATAGATGGTTAAAAATCCATATCTAGCCTAAAAATGTGGCCAGCTCTGCGATCCACCATAAAAATGAAAAAGACGACATGTTAATCCTAACTGATGAATTATAAAACTAATGTGGGTGGTGTGTTCAAAATTTATGGTACCAGGACACAGTAAATTAATAAACCCGATGTCAGCGCTGTAAACAATTTGCCTTGAAGTTCTTTTGATGGGTTTCATCTATCGGAACCATGATACCCGACCATCCCACAAATAAAATTGTCACACTGCGCTTTAAGGGAACTAGTGCACCCAAAGCTGGATTTCTGTCAGAACCTTCTTCTGGGGAGCTTCTCTCAACCTACTTCCATGAACTTCCAAAGGGGACTCATCAAGCATGACAGTACCTTTTGATTCATGGCTACAATCTACGTAGACTCCCTTGGTTTTCAACAATGAAGCAACAGAAAACGAAAACAAAATTAACAGTAGTGTGCAATTACTCAGAGATCACCCACTCACTGTTCCCCTAATGCCTTCCAGAAAAAGTTGTTTCCATGAATTTCTGGAAGATCGTAAGGGAAGTGACTAACCTGGCCCCAAAGAAAAGGCTGTCCATAGCATAAGCACTGCAGCAGAGAAAGATAATCTGCATATCCCTGCACTGTTAAGCTCCCAGTGTGGAGAACCACAAGCACGTTTTAACAGGGTGTGCTTGTGGTGGGTTTTAAACTTTTTTTTTTTAAATCCTTTTTCAAACAAGCATACATAAGAATTGAGCAATTCATTGCCTACTAAGAAAAAAAGGGAAAAACATAGCACGACAAATAAAACAACAAAAAAACCTGTAATGACAACTATATTTCCAAATCACCTGATGTTTTTTTTATTATTTATTTTATTTTTCACATTTTTGAAACATCCATCTTCTCCCTTGGGGGATGGAACTTTTAAAAGAGGAAAATAAGCTTTCAATTGTTTCACCAAGCCCATCCAAGAACGTCTTCCAAAGGAAGAGACAGCATGACATTTTCTGATCAACAGAATTGTATAATTTTCTCAAAAATGGCTAATTACACACCTCCAAAATCCCATCCTTAATATTCGGAGTTAGAATGTTTTTCCATCTCATAACTATTTTTTTTTTTGCAATCCCCCTCAGATTTGCTCATGATATACCCCAGGAGAATCTTTGTACTAGGCATCAGCTGCTATACTATATAAAATATGATTGTGTCAGTAATTGTTTTTTTAATGCCCTTTAAGGAATGAAAAAGCAAAAAAAAAAACCAAAAGAAAACCTTATTAAGACTTACTGTTTGGCTGTCAGGAAAATCCATCTTCAGCAATTTATGGGCACATTCCTCAAAATCTAAACTAGAGAAAGACAGAGAAAGGGAAAATATACATTTATCTGTACATAATTGACTTTCATCCCTAACATGGTAAAAGCTTCTCACAAATCCTCAAAGTGACTTTGGTGTAACACCAAAACCATGCTGGTTTCAACTACTGTTCAGGCAAAGGCATCTTAAGACATCTACATTCCAAAATTTATAATGTAAGAATTATTTTTAACTGTACAAGTGCCTTCAGAACTTCCCATACGCCAAGACCTCTCTTACTAAAGTCAGACACTCATTGTCACTTGATTAAATCAGAACATCACTGGTCTCTGAGCCTCAAATCTGTTGAAGTAAGTTTACATGACAACCAGTTTCCTATAGCGCAGTGATGGCGAACCTTTTAGAGTCCGAGTGCCCAAACTGCAACCCAAAACCCACTTACGCATCGTCGGGTGCTGGGTAGGTGTGGCCCATTGGCTGGGTGTGGCCCATTGGCTGGGCATGGCTGCGGTGGTAACGGCAGACTGGGTGGGACTAAAAAGTTCAATCAATCAATTCCAACTTTGCAAGATCTTTTTCTTTTCCGTGAGAAGTTGAAATTGATTGATTGATTGAACCTTTTTTTTTTTTGCACACGGAGGCGGAGGCCTAAAGCGAAAAGGTTTTATAAAACCCAGCTGAAGGCCTAGGACTGGGGCGACGGCGCACGTGCCGACAGAGAGGGCTCTGAGTGCCGCCTCTGGCACCCGTGCCATAGGTTCGCCACCACTGCTATAGCGGTAAGGTCCCAGAGTAGAAACCAGGAGACAATGAGTTCTAGTCTTGCCTTTGACATGAAACCAGTTGAGTCAACTTGAGTCAGTCACTCTCAACCATAGGAAGAAAACCGTAGAAAGTCCATTTTCAAAAATCTCGCCAAGAAAACTGCTGGGACTCATCCAGGCAACTGCCAGGAGTCAACACTGACTCAAAAGTATACACACAAGTATAAACACATGCAAGAAGTTCATTAAAGAAAGAAAACAATGCATACATCAATATATGAAAAATCCATTTTCCTCCTCATTAAGAAGCCCAATGTATTTTATAACTATGTACATTTCTGTTGAAAAATAATTCTATTTTAGCAATTAATGTTTTTTTCCATGAGCTCCAGCCAAAACCAATAGATTTTCAGACAGACTAAAACAAGATGATTCTCTTTTATGAGTCATTATTACTGTAACATCATATTAAACAGAAATGTACCAATTCTAGTAAACAAATTAAAACACTGGCTTTTTCCACAATGTAATTTCATAGAATAACTGTTCGATGTAAAGAAGGCAATAAAAACATTGGCAAATATTTTTAGTTCTATGCCAATTATCTTTTATTCTACAAGTGCAGATTTGTCCATTTGAAATGTATGAATCTTCTAATTTCAATAGATTCCAATTGAGAACCTTCCACAATTTATGGTTTTACAGGTATACATGACTGCAAATCGTCAATGACAGGAATCTGAAGAGTTGCAATCCAACAAATTTGAAAGGAATCGGTTTGTAAGAGATAATTTTGCAGTGCATTCCTAAATATAAAGAAAAATGTACAAGCCCTCTAGCTTGAAGCTAACATTTTGCATGCTGTCATCTAGAATGCTAGTTTGCAAAAGTGCCTGCAATTTATGCTACAACAGTGTCAAATTTCAACGGAGAGTTATATTTCATTTTACCTTGACTGAATTGCAAGGTAAATAGTTCGCCGGAAAGAAACCAAGTTAATTTCCGTTTTGTCATGGATGGTAACCTTTTGTCCTTGATCAATAAAAGGAAATAAACAAAAAGATTAGGATAAATCATTCAGGAATTTTTTTTACATAGCATTGCCAACACATTATTTCAGATAGGATTGTTCAAAATAAATGACTTCTCCATGAAAAATAACTGAACTTGGAAGCTAAGCAAGGATGGGCGTGATTAATATTTGATAGGATAGGAAACTATCCTGGAAGCCCAGCAAAAAAGGCTAGACATCGAAGTTTAAAAACATTCTGAAAGGAAGCAGCCTCAGATGAAAGGAATTATCTTTCCCTTAAAAAAATTATGTGAGAAAAAAACAGCTTGTTTCACAGTCATACCATTTCAGTGTACAATTTGGGGGCATTTATATTTAATAGAGAAACCGTGAGTTTTTAAGTCTGGCTTGACGCTAAAGTGATCAAGGGAATTTCAGTCAAATTTCAAAGAGGGGTGGGGTGGGGTTCTCCTATGCCTCTAAGAATACTGAGCATAACAACATATAACAATTGCAACAGAACAGGAGGTAAGATTTCATCGTGGTCCGATGCATAACTAAACAAACTGTTTGAACGTAAATAAATACCCGGAGCATTTAAATAAGCACTGTTCATGATGACAGTCTGCAGTAATTACCATCTTCTTTTTTTTATTTTTTGGCCTGTGACAAACAATGCTTTTCTACAATACTGTTTAAAAAAACCCAGTACCGTATTTTCCGGCGTATAAGACGACTTTCTAAACCCTGAAAATCTTCTCAAAAGTCGGGGGTCGTCTTATACGCCCAGTCTTATACGCCGGAAAATACGGGTATTCTATTTTATTCCTTTACACATGTGGTTTAGCATATTTTCTCTCCCCCCCACTCTCTCGCTCAAACTCTATATTTTAACTGGAAAAGTTGGGGGTCATCTTATACGCCCAGTTGTCTTATACACCGGAAAATACGATATTTTTCAGATTCAGCAACCCCCTCAATGTGTTCTTGTGTTTCTCTAGAACCATTTTCTACTGTATAAATATTTGTATAGATGTTAACTGCAGACTGTCAAAATATGCTAAGCTGCTTTATTTGTGAACCCTAAAGGGGTGATCAATGCAAAACAAACCCCGCCCTCCTACTTTTGTAAACAGTTAAGTATTAGTATTGGACAAGATTTAGTCGAGATAAGAAGTTTTTAAAAACTTGATTTCAAAGGAAATAATTTTAAGCAAACCTTAATCCCCGCAGTAAATTTTGTGGATCTTATGTGGGTTTTAAAGACTGTCCGAATGCACACTATGCTATTACACTTAATATTTGGCCCAGCCATTCCATTAAAAACCCAACAAAAATACCATCCTTCTCTATAAAACTGTGTTTAGAATTGCAATGAAGATTAATGTAGAACAGGAAAAGAAATTTAAAACAAAAGTACCACTTCTCCTGGTGGTTGTCTCCCCTTGGAATATCATCCCTTCAGAAATCAGACTGGCCCCTACTTTGACACTCTTTCGTAAGTACCCGAAGGCTTGGTTTTTGTCAGAGGGGCCTGGAGAACCCAGAGTGGGATGGAGCCCATCAAATGGCTCGTTTGACTGTGTGTTGTCAACGGACCGGTGGGGTGGGTTATTGTTTTTGTTTTTATGTTTTGTTCTATACTGTGCTTTTATTGCTTGTAGGCCGCCTAGAATTGCTGTGAGCGAGTAGGCGGATGTATAAAATTTTCTAAATAAATAAATAGAATAAGTATTTTTGGCAATGACAGAAGCAGGCGAGAAGAAAAAAACTTAATGTTTACACTTGAAAGAAATCAAAAGTTAAAGGCAAAAATGAAATAAGATGTGTGTATGCTAGTTCCAGTTGTGATCAAGGCAACACTGGGCTTCCGTTTCTTAAACATCAATACTGCTTGTCCAACAGACACACAAAGTCAAGATTTTCAAAAATAGATTAAATAGGCACAGGGGCTAATTTTTAAAAAACATGTTTTTACCTCCTAGTGAGTAAACTTTACAAGCGCTTTAACTATACACGGTTATGGAAATGCTCTGATTTAAGGGTAGTAAGTACAACTAAATCACCCTTTATCTACATAGATTCCCATTTGCTAACTAAGTCAGTACATTTTCCTGAGTACGACCCAGAAGGCCTACGATGTTCATATACTTTATATCCAATGATAACACATTAAAAACACCTGTTTTGCTTCCATGTTCAATTCAAGGTGTTGGTTATGATCTTTAAAGCCCTACATGGCATGGGGTCAAGGTACCTGTGGAGCTCTTTTTGGCCCATTACATCAGCCTGTCCCACCCAGTCAGGCAGAGAAGGTATGCTGCAGATCCATCAGTTAAAGAATTTTTGTTTGGAGAGGTCCAGGAAGAGAGCGTTCTCTGCCCCTGCCCCTGGAAAAAATTCTTCTCCCAGAGGCGAAGGGGGCTCCCACTCTCGTGGCCTTTTGGAAATGTCCAATGACCTGGCTCTGCCTACTTACTTGGGGCAGACAGAGGTGCATATGGCCATGGGGCTGGTAAGTGCCTTAAAGGCCCTCCCCTGCTTTGTAATTCTGAATTTTAAATATTTTATTCTTGTATTAATCTTGATTTATGATATAATATTCATATGGTTTTTTTTTCTGTTTTTAAGTCTTCTTTGCACGCTGCCCAGAGTTGCTCTGTGAGGGAGATGGGCAATTTCTAAATGTGATAATTAAAGAGAAAGCGTATTTTAATATAAATCAAACTTAGATTTATTGTTCTGCTATAGTGTATTACCCACAGTTCTGAATAATTTACCCCACTTAGTTTAAATGAAACTCTCTTACCTTCTTCATCCTCCTCCTCCTCCTCTTTTTCTTCCTCATCCTCCTCTTCACTACTACCAGCATCCTGATCAGCTTCTGAGTCACTGTCACCTTCATCAAGGATTTCTACATTACCCCAAAAATAAATTCAAATTAATAGATTTGACTGAGTCAGCAGTATGTAGGACAGAGAAGAGCCTTAGAAATAAACAACCATGCACAACTGAGAACTTGAACCCACATACCTTTTTTCAGAGTTTTGTATTTCTCTTCGTTGTCCATAAATTCAGGGTCCATTTTGAAGACGTCTTCCCAAAAGGAGAAAAGAAAACATTGAAATGATGCTCTTACGTAATTCTAAAGCACACAAGCATACATTTGATCTCAAAAAGCATACTTACTGAGAATGTCATCGGGATTATATTCATCTTCCAAAGGTAACATGTGGGTAAATTGATCCTCCTCCTCCACAAGATCAAGTCCCTCTGGAATTACTGGGTGATCTTTGAATCCATCTTTGCGCACGGCAAACATGACTTCAATCATGTATTGGACACGCTTGTCAGTTTCGGATTCATGAAGGACATGGCGAAGGCGGTCAAAGATGGCTGTGGTGTAAAAACAGTTCAGATGGGGGCTGCTCAATTCAGGAATCAAGGAGGTGCATAGCAGGATTGCCTACTTACCGTTAATACCTCTAGGGGACACTTCTGTTAACTTGAGGCCACAATCCTTTAGAAATCCAATTGATACTTCAATGCTGTCATCTGTAGGTCTTTCCAGGAGCAACGTGAGCATTTCCAAACATAAAACCTCGTGAGCCTGATAGGAAAACAACATAAAATATTAGTTAAAAAAAATCAGATACTTAAAACAGCTGATAAAATACAACACTACTGCAAGAAGTGCAATGAGCTCAGGGCAGCACGTGCTGACTTTAAGACATCTCATACCATCCACAGCAGAGCAGTCTGAAGTATTCAGACTGGATATCCAACTGGATAGGCCTATAGCAATTCTCTAAATCAGGGGTCCCCAACGCCCAGTCTGTGGACCGGTATTGGGCCACGGCATGCCAGCAACCGGTCCACACAAACAAGCAAAGCCCCATCCATGAGATGCAGGCAGCACACAAAACCACGCACTCTCGGGTCCACGGAAAAACCTTTTTCCACGGAACCGGTCCCTGGTGCTAAAAAAGTTTGGGGACCTCTGCTCTAGATCAGGAAATGGCAATTAGCAAGGAGTGTTGTTTGAAACAAAACATGAAACGGTCAGCTGGAGAGATTCATTCCAAATCAACAGACCTTCTGCTATGCCTTTGCATAACTGTTTGCAGACAGATGGGAAATATAATGGAAAATGGTGGCAAACTTTTCTGGGTTCGCTCTAAAATACGGGAGCTCACCTTAGTCTAGGAAGGGCAAACCTCTTCCTGAATGGATCATAAGGATGCCTGATTAGGAAATCTCAAGACAAACTTAAGCAACATGTCTCCACATGCCCATGCTGCTGAAAACTGCATCTATTTGCTTGTAAAAAAGGAAAGCTACATAAGTAGTCCTGGCTTAATCGTCCTTTTTAGCAATTGTTTAAAGTTACGGATGGTGCTGAAAAAAGTACAAGCAGTCCTTGACTTACAATAGCAGTTGTGACCAACATTTCCACTGCTAAATGATTCAATTATAAAGCGCACTGCATTGCTAGCGATGGCAATTCCTGCAGTCCTGGATGCTGTTGTTAACCGAATTTCACTGTTGTTACGGGAGGCAACTTCCTATGGCAAGTCCCAGGCAGCTTGCAAGCAGGCTGGTAGGCAGGCAAATGGCTGCTATCAGATGTGGGAGGGTGCAAAAAAGGCATGGGAAAACTTGGGGAGGGTGTGAGGGAGCTGCAATGAGGGTTTTGTGTGTGTGCATGTGTGTGTGTGTCCAGCCTGGCAGAAGTGCACAGGGATTGGGAAAGGGTGTGTAGATGAAGGAGATTTACCCAACAATTTGCAACCTTTCCTTTGAGTTACATGGCATCAAAACTGGTTGTAAGTGTGAGCCAGTTGCCAAGTGCCCAGATTGCAATCACATGATCACAAAGCTGCTGGGATAGCAAGAACTCCGAGGACCAGTCATAAGCACTATTCATTCAGGACCTTTGCAATTCCAAACATTCACCCAATAAATGGTTGTAAGCTGAGAACTTCCTGTAACTTTATGACCAATCCTCATATTATAATAGTTGATATATCCTCAACAGTCAGTGATTAAGATTTGGCTGCTTCACGGGGGACTTCCGGTGGCAGGCGCCTTCGCTGGACGCAGCTGTTTGCTGCTCCCGCCTGTTTCTGCGTAAAAGCCGTTCTGACAGCCTGCATCAGCTGTCAAACGGCTTGATACCTTTCCCCTGGGCATAGGGGGAAAGGTGAGCTGCCCGAGGTAGGAGTTGAGTTCCCGAGTCGTCCCTTGTGGACGATGTAGGTGANGAAATTTAAAACAAAAGTACCACTTCTCCTGGTGGTTGTCTCCCCTTGGAATATCATCCCTTCAGAAATCAGACTGGCCCCTACTTTGACACTCTTTCGTAAGTACCCGAAGGCTTGGTTTTTGTCAGAGGGGCCTGGAGAACCCAGAGTGGGATGGAGCCCATCAAATGGCTCGTTTGACTGTGTGTTGTCAACGGACGGGTGGGTGGGTGGGTTATTGTTTTTGTTTTTATTTTTTGCTCTATACTGTGCTTTTATTGCTTGTAGGACGCCTAGAGATGCTGTGAGTGAGTAGGCGGCTGTATAAATTTTCTAAATAAATAAATAGAATAAGTATTTTTGACAATGACAGAAGCAGGCGAGAAGAAAAAAAGTTAATGTTTACACTTGAAAGAAATCAAAAGTTAAAGGCTAAAATGAAATAAGATGTGTGTATGCTAGTTCCAGTTGTGATCAAGAGAACACTGGGCTTCCGTTTCTTGAACATCAATACTGCTTGTCCAACAGACACACGAAGTCAAGATTTTCAAAAATAGATTAAATAGGCACAGGAGCTAATTTTTTAAAAACGTTTTTACCTCCTAGTGAGTAAACTTTACAAGCGCTTTAAATATACACGGTTATGGAAATGCTCTGATTTAAGGGTAGTAAGTACAACTAAATCACCCTTTATCTGCATAGATTCACATTTGCTAAGTCAGTACATTTTCCTGAGTACGACACAGAAGGCCTACGATGTTCATATACTTTATACCCAATGATAACACATTAAAAACACCTAGTTTGCTTCCATATTCAATTCAAGGTGTTGGTTATGATCTTTAAAGCCCTACATGGCATGGGGTCAGGGTACCTGTGGAGCTCTTTTTGGCCCATTACATCAGCCTGTCCCACCCAGTCAGGCAGAGAAGGTATGCTGCAGACCCATCAGTTAAAGAATTTTTGTTTGGAGGGGTCCAGGAAGAGAGCGTTCTCTGCCCCTGCCCCTGGAAAAAATTCTTCTCCCAGAGGCGAAGGGGGCTCCCACTCTCGTGGGCTTTTGGAAATGTCCAATGACCTGGCTCTGCCTACTTACTTGGGGCAGACAGAGGTGCATATGGCCATGGGGCTGGTAAGTGCCTTAAAGACCCTCCCCTGCTTTGTAATTCTGAATTTTAAATATTTTATTCTTGTATTAATCTTGATTTATGATATAATATTCATATGGTTTTTTCCCCCTGTTTTTAAGTCTTCTTTGCACGCTGCCCAGAGTTGCTCTGTGAGGGAGATGGGCAACTTCTAAATGTGATAATTAAAGAGAAAGCGTATTTTAATATAAATCAAACTTAGATTTATTGTTCTGCTATAGTGTATTACCCACAGCTCTGAATAATTTACCCCACTTAGTTTAAATGAAACTCTCTTACCTTCTTCATCCTCCTCTTCCTCCTCTCTTTCTTCCTCATCCTCCTCTTCACTACTACCAGCATCCTGATCAGCTTCTGAGTCACTGTCACCTTCATCAAGGATTTCTACATTACCCCAAAAATAAATTCAAATTAATAGATTTGACTGAGTCAGCAGTATGTAGGACAGAGAAGAGCCTTAGAAATAAACAACCCTGCACAACTGAGAACTTGAACCCACATACCTTTTTTCAGAGTTTTGTATTTCTCTTCGTTGTCCATAAATTCAGGGTCCATTTTGAAGACGTCTTCCCAAAAGGAGAAAAGAAAACATTGAAATGATGCTCTTACGTAATTCTAAAGCACACAAGCATACATGTGATCTCAAAAAGCATACTTACTGAGAATGTCATCGGGATTATATTCATCTTCCAAAGGTAACATGTGGGTAAATTGATCCTCCTCCTCCACAAGATCAAGTCCCTCTGGAATTACTGGGTGATCTTTGAATCCATCTTTGCGCACGGCAAACATGACTTCAATCATGTATTGGACACGCTTGTCAGTTTCGGATTCATGAAGGACATGGCGAAGGCGGTCAAAGATGGCTGTGGTGTAAAAACAGTTCAGATGGGGGCTGCTCAATTCAGGAATCAAGGAGGAGCATAGCAGGATTGCCTACTTACCGTTAATACCTCTAGGGGACACTTCTGTTAACTTGAGGCCACAATCCTTTAGAAATCCAATTGATACTTCAATGCTGTCATCTGTAGGTCTTTCCAGGAGCAACGTGAGCATTTCCAAACATAAAACCTCGTGAGCCTGATAGGAAAACAACATAAAATATTAGTTAAAAAAAAAATCAGATACTTAAAACAGCTGATAAAATACAACACTACTGCAAGAAGTGCAATGAGCTCAGGGCAGCACGTGCTGACTTTAAGACATCTCATCCCATCCACAGCAGAGCAGTCTGAAGTATTCAGACTGGATATCCAACTGGATAGGCCTATAGCAATTCTCTAAATCAGGGGTCCCCAACGCCCAGTCTGTGGACCGGTATTGGGCCACGGCATGCCAGCAACCGGTCCACACAAACAAGCAAAGCCCCATCCATGAGATGCAGGCAGCACACAAAACCACGCACTCTCCGGTCCACGGAAAAACCTTTCTCCACGGAACCGGTCCCTGGTGCTCAAAAGTTTGGGGACCTCTGCTCTAGATCAGGAAATGGCAATTAGCAAGGAGTATTGTTTGAAACAAAACATGAAACGGTCAGCTGGAGAGATTCATTCCAAATCAACAGACCTTCTGCTATGCCTTTGCATAACTGTTTGCAGACAGATGGGAAATATAATGGAAAATGGTGGCAAACCTTTCTGGGTTCGCTCTAAAATACGGGAGCTCACACCTTAGTCTAGGAAGGGCAAACCTCTTCCTGAATGGATCATAAGGATGCCTGATTAGGAAATCTCAAGACAAACTTAAGCAACATGTCTCCATATGCCCATGCTGCTGAAAACTGCATCTATTTGCTTGTAAAAAAGGAAAGCTATATAAGTAGTCCTGGCTTAATCGTCCTTTTTAGCAATTGTTTAAAGTTACGGATGGTGCTGAAAAAAGTACAAGCAGTCCTTGACTTACAATAGCAATTGTGACCAACATTTCCACTGCTAAATGATTCAATTATAAAGCGCACTGCATTGCTAGCGATGGCAATTCCTGCAGTCCTGGATGCTGTTGTTAACCGAATTTCACTGTTGTTACGGGAGGCAACTTCCTGTGGCAAGTCCCAGGCAGCTTGCAAGCAGGCTGGCAGGCAGGCAAATGGCTGCTATCAGATGTGGGAGGGTGCAAAAAAGGCATGGGAAAACTTGGGGAGGGTGTGAGGGAGCTGCAATGAGGGTTTTGTGTGTGTGCATGTGTGTGTGTGTCCAGCCTGGCAGAAGTGCACAGGGATTGGGAAAGGGTGTGTAGATGAAGGAGATTTACCCAACAATTTGCAACCTTTCCTTTGAGTTACATGGCATCAAAAGTGTGAGTGTGAGCCAGTTGCCAAGTGCCCAGATTGCAATCACACGATCACAAAGCTGCTGGGATAGCAAGAACTCCGAGGACCAGTCATAAGCACTATTCATTCAGGACCTTTGCAATTCCAAACATTCACCCAATAAATGGTTGTAAGCTGAGAACTTCCTGTAACTTTATGACCAATCCTCATATTATAATAGTTGATATATCCTCAACAGTCAGTGATTGAGATTTGGCTGCTTCACAATCAGCAGCTGTTTATGATCATCACAGTTTCCATGGTCACATCATCACTATTTGCATGCTTTACTACCAGCTTCTGACAAAGAGAATTAATAGAGAAGGCAGCAGTAAAATCGCAAGTTATAGTCATATGATGTCTCTCTTAACGACCATGGCGGAAAGGTGGTTGGAAGCCTATCCAGGTCACATAATGTCCCACTTAACGACTGCATCGCTTAGGGCAGTGATGGCGAACCTTTTAGAGACTGAGTGCCCAAAACCTGCTTCTGCCCCCATCCCACACCTGCTCCGCCCCATCCCGCCTGCTCTGCTCTGCCCTGCCCCCACCCCACCTGCCCGCAGGGCCACTCACCACTTCCATGGCCCACCGCAGATCGCCCAGGCGGCCCAGCAGCACCTTGGTGGCCACGCCATCTGCCCGCACCACGCAGCATCAACTGTGCACGATGGGGTGTGAGGGCGCAGTCTTGTCCCCGCTGCCCGGCTGCTATGTCCTTGGCTGTGCTGCTTTGCGCGGGCCGCGCTCGGTGGTGACTCGCATCCAGGAGGCTACTGGTGAGGAGGGGGCCGTGGGGGGAGGCGGGTCTGGGGCAATGGCATGCGTGCCCACAGAGAGGACTCTGAGTGCCGTCTCTGGCACGCGTGCCATAGGTTCGCCACCAGTGGGTTAGGGAAAACTCCCACATATAATAATCAGATACTACCCATTTCTGAGAAAGTCCTAATTCTATGATATTAGTAGATAAAAATAAATTGAATTTATTATCTTAAAAAAATGAGGTTGCCATCTCAGATATAAATATTAGAACGTATGACTGGCTCATCAATCACTTCATTAGGAAAGCTATCGAAATAAGTATGATGACTGAATGCAAAAGCATAATGCCGACTCTCACTTAATTGTGGTTCTGATTCTGACATGATTCAGGTGAGTTTAGCATATCACAAACGATGACAAGAAGTAATCTAGATAGACAATGAGCTATAAAACCTCCATAGACAACTCCTCATTTTTTTGGTTCTTGTGGGAAGATTACATTGTAAATATCAAAAGCTAAAACTATCATGTCCCTGTTACAAATAGCTTACCACATTCTGATTCATAAGATGTGCCACAAACTTGGAAGCTGTCAAGCACTGTTGCTGCAAAACAAAACACAAAGATACACATTATTCTATTTTTTTTTAATTTTTCTACTATTATGCCAGGATGAACAACCTACAGAAGCACGAGAAACATTACACCACACATAATGTTTGGCGATACTGCAATGTCATGAAGTGAGAAAAGACACATTATATACATATAGGAGTAGCTTGTTTGGGACATATTTTGGGGGATTTCCTTGTTTTTTAATTGTCACTTTAAGTCTTAGATCTATTTTCATGTATTTAATATTTCAAAATTATGAGAAATCATACTGTCATTCTTGAGCAAGGCAGAGGAGACTGGAAAGGACACAGGGGGTTTATGGGCTACAAGTTGTCCATGTTAGCTTGAGGGGAATCAAGTGACTCACAGAAGTACTTAAAATTTTACAATTTAAAAAAAGAGATTGCCTGTCCCTTATTAATTTTATTGGAAAAGAGACAAGAAATATTTACCATCTTCAGGTCAAACTAAAACAGTGGGATTAAGTTAGTGGGCCTATTTGAACTATGATTAAATCTACAATCAGTTTAGAAATTGTATTGCACAATTATGGCTTACAAAATTATACAGTAATATGGCTTGACTCAGAAACTTCAATAAGCTATAATATGGTTTGTCTGCGTTTCGCATAATATAGTGTACAACTATGTAAAAATTGATGCATTTTTATAAGCCAGTTCTTATGCAACTGTCACTTCACTATTACACTATATGGAATTGCAAGTATTTGCTTCTGTTTAACATGGATCTGTTCCGGGTGTCTGAATGATTTGATTTTTTTTGTTCTTAGTCTTTACAATGGCAAAAAACAAAATACAATATATTTGACACAAAGAGATCAATACTTTGCTTCTTCATCTGCAGCCTCGCATATTTTTGCAACCATTTGATAAATTAATGTACTAAATCAATACTTTTTTCAATTCTGTTGTACATAAAGCATTTGGTTTTTCTTATATTAAAACATAATAGTTTCAATTTATATTTATTGCTGTAAAAATTAATCGTATATGGCCTTTTATTCTCTGTGATCCTTTCATGACAATATCCCTATACACTAATGAGGAAATAAGTCTGACTGAACATATTTTACTATGGCATCTCAAAATCTAATAGACTCAACCTTATTCAGTTAGCCTGTTCAATAGCTGCTTCCATACCTTATCATTTCTTCGGTATCCTTTGCGAAAATTTAAAATGAGCCTCTTGAGAATCAATTCCCCAATATTTGGAAACTTGGAATTGATGATTGCTACAACTGCCGCGTATACATGAGTGAAGATGGGGGAAGCACTCTGGGCCTGCAAAATTGATCTTGCTAGTAATCCCCTATAAATGAAAAGAGAGACATAAAGAACCTTTAAAAAAACAGAATTTAAGTTTAAACGCAGGCGACAAGGCACATGCAAATGAATTTCCTTAAAGTGTCTTCAACTCCTTAAACTTTTCAAAGCGATTTAAGTCTCACCTGACCGAGTAGACTTTCCTGTATGGATATTCCACCCACCCCAATAGTCTACCCCAGTGATGGCAAACCTTTTAGAGACCGAGTGCCCAAACTGCAACCCAAAACCCACTTATGCATCGTCGAGTGCCGGGTGGGTGTGGCCCATTGGGTGGGCATGGCCAATTGGGTGGGCGTTGCTGCAGTGATAACAGCAGACTGGGTATGACTAAAAAGTTCAATCAATCAATTTCAACTTTGCAAGATCTTTTTTTTCCACGTGAGAAGTTGAAATTGACTGATTGAACCTTTTTTTTTTTTTTTTGCACACGGTGTCGGAAGCCTAAAGCGAAAAGGTTTTATAAAACCCAGCTGAAGGCCTAGGACTGGGGCGACAGCGTGCGTGCCCACAGAGAGGGCTCTGAGTGCCGCCTCTGGCACCCGTGCCATAGGTTCGCCACCACTGGTCTACCCAATCAGCAGTTCCCCTGACCCTTTGAAATGTATTTATCCAGGGGAGAATCAGAAAGGGATACACTGGGAAGAAGTAGGTTGAGAAATCCTCTTCTACTAATACAACTTAATGCATCTAAATCCAGACTTAATCTTTTACTAGGCTCCCATAAATTATGACATGATCGCTTGAAGATAAAATCATGGGCTTTTCTCCATTGCACTGTATTATCACTAAACTATCATGTCGTCTAACATGATATTCACTAGACAATTTTAGATTTTTCATCTGATCTCCTGTGCTTCGTGCTGTAAGTTTATATTGTGATATTATACAGTAATTTCCAAGAGTGTTTTGGAAAGGAATAGTTAACGCTTAATTCCAGGCAAAACAATAAAGAAATGTTTATTACAAATAACTCCCAAATCCCGATGTCTCTTATGCCAAGTTGGCATTCATGTCTCCATTTAGCAGCCCAGGTCTCTATCAAACCTATTGCATTTTTGGGTCTTATAGTTCTAGTGAATACCAAATGGAGCTACACTCTTGGAAAAAAGCAATGCCATTCCACTGAAGAAAATTCAAAACATTCCAAATTAAATACAGGTAGCCTTTGACTTACAACACTTCGTTTAGTGGCCATTCAGAGTTACAATGGCACTGAAAAAAGCGACTTATGACCAGTTTATTTTACAGTTATGACCGTTGCAGCATCCCCATGATCATGTGATCAAAATTTGGATGCTTGGCAACTGGCAAGTACTTAGGAGTTACTTGCAGTGTCCCAGGTTCACGCGATCCCCTTTTGCAACCTTCTGACAAGCAAAGTCAATGGGGAAGCCAGATCCATTTACCAACTATGTTACTAACAAATCCTGCTTTGGGGATATATATTTTCAAAAAGGTAGTTAGGATTTATTGACATTATTTTGCTGGATATTTTAGCCGAACCAGGCCTCAAGATTTTGCATTAGGCACAACATAACATGTCTCTTGAAACAAGTTTATATCCACAAGCAGTCCTTGACTTACAACAGTTCATTTAGTGACCGTTTTCACTGCACTAAAAAGTAACTTATGACCACTTTTCACACTTATGACCATTGCAGCATCCCCACAGTCATGTGATCAAAATTCAGAGGCTTGGAAACCGACTCATACTTATGATGGCTGCAGTGTCCCGGGGTCATGCGATCAGCTTTTGTAACCTTCTGACCAACAAAGCCAACGCAGAAGCCAGGTTCACTTAACAACCATGGTACTAACTTAACAACTGCAGTGATTCACTTAACAACCATGGCAAAAAAGGTCGTAAAATGGGGCAGAATTCACTTAACAAATGTTTCAGTCAGCCACAGAAACGACGGGCTCAATTATAGTCATACGTTGAGGACTACCTGTATAACTAAAATAACAAATGACACCCTGGTACTTGTCAGAATGATGGTAACTCTGCTACCTAAACCCAGTAGGAAAAATAGCATAACTACAGCCCCCATAGAGAAAGCTTCTCAGTGAAAGCCAAAAGTCATTAACGTACTTTGGTACTAAGCTCAACAAGTATATTTTGCCTCCTAATTCAGATGTGCAGATGTTTCCTGATCATTTGGGTTTCAATTAAGCACTTAGAACAGGGGTATCAAACTCAATTTCATTGAGGGCCGCACCAGCATTGTGGTTGCCCTCGGGGGCCCGGGTGGGTGTGGCCAAGATGGGTGCGGCCTACTGGGTGGGCGTGGATGGAGTGGGTGTGGCCTACTGGGTGGGCATGGCTAGCTCTACATCGTTCGCGTCAAGGGTGCCTGTGGGGGCCTGGGACAGATCTGAGGGTCTCTGGCAGAAGGGGGTGGGACCTGGGCAAGCACCAAGGCATGGTCCATTTCTTCATTCCTCACAAAGGGTGACACCTCCCCAGCATGCACCCAGGGGGCAGGGCCAACGCGGCAGGGGCTGGTTCCTCGCTGTATCTAGACGGCCTTGTGGAGCTAAGACTGAATGCGTTTCAGCATAGACGGCCACCACAAAATTGTACATTGGCTCCCGGCCGGCCTGGGCCAGGGCCAAAGCAGTGGGGGCTGTTCCCTCACTGTTTCCAGGATGGCTTCGTGGGCCACATGAAACCACTTCGCGGGCCGCATCCGGCCCCTAGGCCTTGTGTTTGACATGTCTGACTTAGAAGGAGGAGGTCAGAATAGGATATTTGTGGATTTGGATTTCATCAGAGGCTACTGCTCCCTCCTGTCTCAAAGCAGAAGAACCCTGACAGAAAATCCATTTCCCCAACAACTTATCCTGACTGAAAAACCAGCAAGAGGGTAAATGGTTACTATGTAACATGGACAAATTGCCACGAAACACAAGCCTTATTTTTATTCAGTCACACTACTAAATGCAATACAGGTCGTCCTTGACTTATGACCACGACCGAACCCAACATTTCTGTTGTTAAGTGAGACCTTTGCTAAGTGAGTTTTGCCCCATTTTACAACATTTTCTTGCCACAGCCGCTAAGTGAACCGCTGCGGTTGACAAGTTAGTAACCCGGTTGTTAAGCGAATCTGGCTTCCCCGTTGACTTTGCTTGTCAGAAGGTCGCAAAAGGAGATCACGCGACTCTGGGACAAAGCAAAGGTCATAAATATGAACCGGTCGCCAAGCATCTGAATTTTCATCACATGACCACGAGGATGCTGCAACGGACACAAATGTGAAAAATGGTTGTCAGTCACATTTTTCAGTGCCGTTGTAACTTTGAACAGTCACTAAATGAACAGTTGTAAGTCAAGGACTACCTGTAAATTGAAGAGCACAAGGAGCTAATCGGACAGACTTCATCACGTTTTACAGCATTTGAATGCCGTAAGATTGCAAAATGGAAATCCAGTGCACAAAAAAACACTTAGAATTACAAAAAAACAAATCCAAAACTGTCTGATTTTTGAGCACGACACTTAGAAGGCATTCACAATTCTTCCATCTCCACTCAAACTAGTTCATGGCCACGGATCAGAAAATATCCGTTGTAATATAGCAGAACTCCAGTTAATATCTGTTTTTTTAAGACCCGATTGCATGTTGCATGCTTTAAAAGCTTCAAGTTAATGTGATCTCTGAATGTATAAAACATCTTGACTTCAATAGAATTTGCTAAGGGCTAATCTTCAATTCATCTGCAAGCTTGCATAAGCTTTTACCAAACCATTCTGACTTTAAAACGAACATACCAGCTTGACTCAAGCAGAACCCTCTATAAAAACATTATAGGCTATTTTTAACAAGAAGCCCAGATCTAGGGGTTGTGCAAGCAACATAAAACGTGTTTTCTTCAAACCCCAAGCAAACCCACCAAGTTAACAGGAATTCTGCAGTGACAGTGAAGAGCTGGAACATATTTAAATTACGTCTGCAGGGATATCTTAGAGCAGGGGTAGGCAACCTTGGCTCTTTTATGACTCGTGGACTTCAACTCCCAGAATTCCTGAGCCAGCCATGCTGACGGGAAAGGGAGAGGTTTCCAAGCTGAGCCATGCTGACTCAAGAGTTGAAGTCCACGAGTCATAAAAGAGCCAAAGTTGCCTACCCCTGTCTTAGAGGAATCTTACAGGGTGAAAGAGGCAGTCCTCATCTTCCCATTGTCCTTTCCCTCTCTACCTACTTGCCACTACCCAGGTCCCAATGTGGCATGTGCCACATTTTCTCTATCCCTAAGCTCATTTCATATACATTCGTCAATATTCACATATTTAAACCGAGCAGAAAGGGGTTGCTCTTTACATGCTTACCTGCCTCTCACAATGTTTTCTTGAAGAAGTTCACTTATAATATTTCCAATGTTTGAAACGTTCACTTTGTTGATGAGACCGTTGATGGACTTCTTCAGGGCTTCCCAGCTCATTCTCTGATAGGCTAAGCTGTTTTTTCAAAATATACAAATTTACTAATGGACAAGAGGGAAAGAACTAGAGTAAAAGGTATTATCAGACGGAGCGTTCAACGGTGACACATCCGTCCACTCTCACTCCTGTTTTGCAAAAGCAAAAGACGCGAAGAAGAGATACTACGCCAAGCAATATTATTATGAACACTAAACAGTGATTTGTGTTTTGCAAAAAAAAAAAAGTATCATCGACTATAGTCAACAGACAAAATCAGGAAGGACAATGCTAGCTTCAGATTTTATCTCACCCAGCAGAAAAATTTGGCCTTCTCATTAAGAAACTATATTTATTCCTACATGAGACTGTCACAATAATGATGACTCCGCTATCTGAGCATGAAAAATTGAGACCAAACCCCAACCTTTGAAGATTTTTCTAAATAAAGCTATAGAGCAGTCTTGCTTTCCTTTTTCTGATAAGAAAAGCTAAAAAGGGCTCTTCTACTTCCACATAATTAGGATTTTTCTGACATCAGACATGTCAATCTGCACCTTTCTCTATTCCTGTTTCTATACCGCTCTGTTATTTGGGCACATAGCATTAAAAATCAATTTTTTCTTCATAGACTTTCAGTTAATTTAAAATATAACATTTTAATTTAATTCATATAAAATATAATTTAAAAAAAAAATGGTATACCTATTTTTATCAGTGATTTGTGCCTGCATCATCCTGAGCTTTGCTGGAGGAATGTATGCCCCGCCAGTACGGGTAAGGATTGGATCCACCTCCTCTTTCTTTTTCTTTGGAGGGGGCTCCTCACGTGAAAGAGAGCTCGGTACTCCGGATTTCTCCATATCGTTTTTCCTATCAGGTGACCGGGACTTCCTGTGCTTCTTCCAATCAGATTCTCTCTCTCTCTCCTGTCTTTCTCTCCCTCTGAAATAAATAAATAAATAAATCTGCATATTACATGTTCAAAGTACAAAAGAGAGAAAAAAAAATCAAAATTTAAATATGATGCCAATAATCCTAAGACTTATTTTAAGCAAAATCCAAATCCCTACAAAAGCTTACCAAAAACCCAGCAGTTAAACAACCACAAAGTTCAGAATTTTTAGAAGCATTTGACATTCACCTTGGTTCTGGGTATCTGTCATCGTAATGCCCCCTTCCCGAATATTCTCTGTCAGATCTTCTGTGTTCCAAATGGCCTTTGCTTTGGGGTGATGGAGACCTCCTACGCTCCATGAACGTATCCCTGGATTAAGGGCAAAACTTGGTTAGCAATTACTTTTAAACACATCGCAGAACTTGTGGACAGCCCGTTTGGGGTAGTGGTTAGGGCAGTGATGGAGAACCTTTCAGAGACCGAGTGCCCAAACTGCAACCCAAAACCCACTTATGCATCGTCGGGTGCTGGGTGGGTGTGGCCCATTAGGTGGGCGTGGCCCATTGGGTGGGCGTGGCTGCGTGGCAGCAGACTGGATGGGACTAAAAAGTTCAATCAATCAATTCCAACTTTGCAAGATCTTTTTTTTTCCCGCGAGAAGTTGAAATTGACTGATTGATTGAACCTTTTTTTTTTTTGTACACGGCAACGGAGGCCTAAAGCGAAAAGGTTTTATAAAACCCAGCTGAAGGCCTAGGACTGGGGCGATGGTGTGTGTGCCCACAGAGAGGGCTCTGGGTGCCGCCTCTGGCACCCGTGCCATAGGTTCGCCACCACCGGGTTAAGGTATCAGGCTACAAACTAGGAAACAGCGAATACAGTCCTGCCTTAGGCATAAAACCAGCTGGCCAGTCCCTTTTCTCAGCCCAAGGAAGAAGGAACTGGCAAGCCTACTTCCAAAAAATGCTGCCATGAAAATTGCAGATAGTTACAAGGAGTCAATGCTGACCTGAAGGTGTAAGTAAGTAAGTAAGTAAGTAAGTAAGTAAGTAAGTAAGTAAGTAAGTAAGTAAGTAAATGTATGTATATATGTGCCTGCCAGCCACATTTAACATGCCGTTCAATTTCCTTTATTGTATCACTTTCCATTGAGATCCATTGGCCAAGGTATATATGTAGTGGTCTACTATGTCTAGTTCTTCTCCATAGTTTTCAAGCATCATTTTCAAGAACAACCTCCCCCTATGCCTGAAAAGTTTTCGATCAGTGTGTGCTACCTGCTCCAACATATGCCAGGGAAACATGGACACTAACCTCACAATCAATACAAAGGTTACAAATGGCGCAAAGAGCCATGGAAAGATACGTGCTCGGCATTACAGGACAAGATAGAAAGACCAGCACAAGGATCATTAGAGAACAAATGAAAGTATACAATATCATCAAGAGAGTAAAAGAACTGAAATGGAAATGGGCTGGACACGTAGCAAGAAGAACGGATGGCAGGTGGACCAAGGCAGTCATAGAATGGATCCCACTTAATAAAAAGCGTCCACGGAAGAGATGTAAAACAAGATGGATCGATGACAGCAGAGAGTATTGTGGGCCCAACTGGCAAAAGAAAGCTCAGGATCGTATTGGTTGGAAACATGTGGAAGAGGCCTTCATCCTGCAGTGGGTAGACAATGGCTAAAATGATGATGATGATATGATGATGATGAAATAAACATATAATGGATTGCGTAACTTCGGAAAGCAAATAGTGTGTTTCAAATGTTCCATAACTGTCAACTTTGTATCGCACAGAACTTTTAATTTGTATGCAAAAATAGTAAGAAAAAAGAGTAATATTATTTTTAGCAATTAAACACTGAAGTCTCTGTGTTTGTGCATATCCTTGAATTACTCCTTGGTTCAACGGTTTTACAAGATTTATATCATAAATCTTGCATCTAATCCCATCCCTTCTCATACTTTCTACTGCTACCCCGATCCTTTCAAAACAGGTATCATCTTGATTATGACAGGGAAAGAAGCAAAGGGACAAAGAACATTCATAATTGGATATTCATATCCAGTATATCTGATATTCATACACATAACATACTTCTATGGTTTCTATAAAAATATTGGGAAATGGGACTTGATGGGAGCAGAATCCTCATGAGGCATCAGATCAGAATTGGCAGAGAAAGGAATGCATTCACACACGATGAATTCATATCCGTCCTTTCCACTGGCTCCACTACTAATTGTGTAAGTCTGAAGAGAGATTCTCAGTGAATTCAGCTACATTCACTTAGCATTTCTCTACAGCTGGAATATACTTAGAACAGCAGAATTTTCTGCTGAGAAGATCAAGAGAGTAACCAATATCCATGGGGACACTGGGAAAACTGTTAGCACACCTTTAAAAGGTATACATCTTGGACTGAAGATGTCAACTTATTAACAGCAACATAAGAAACTAAGCTAGAGACAGAACTTTCTGCAAAAACACCCACTGATCAAATATCTAATAAAGCATATAACAGGTAAAGTGGTAGGTGTATAATGCATGTGTGTGTAAGAGAAAGACACACATATCCATCAAGGCACACAAATTACAAGCAATTATAGCACTGTTGTCTGCATCTTCCTTTGATCAGAAGACACAAAACTGATGCTGTCAGTTTATGAACTTGGCTTGGTTCTTTACATCAGAGTGAAAGAAATGTCCCCCTCTATTTACTTCTTTTCCATCAAATATCAAAACTGTCTGAAAGGAAGGCAAATCTTGGTTTAAAATGATTCCTATCCCAAAACAGTATTAGAATGAAAAGATGATGTATTTCCACTACCAGTTTCTCAGCTAATCTAAAATGACTAATCCTTGCAGGTAAACAGAGTATTTACTACTTCAGCTAACAGTTTCTCATATTTACAACTGCCTAAAATCCACTATAGAAATGCCTTTTAATTTGTAGAGGGATTCTCAAATCTCAAAGTACGGTAGTTTAAATCTATTTTAAATTTTAAAATAGGGGTCCTCAACCCCCGGTCTGTGACCGGCACCGGTACGTGGCCCACAAGAACTGGCCCACGCAAGCAAGTGAAGCCCCATCCATGCACACACAGGACCCAGGCAGCATGCGAAACCACACAACCCCTGGTTTGTGGAAAAACTGCCCACCACGGAACTGGTCCCTGGTGCCCAAAAGATTGGGGGCTACTGTTTTAAAATATTAAAGAAATCCTCTCCCCTCCTATCTCCCCATTATAAACCATTATTATTTATAGTGAGTTTTCACTGCATTCCTTATAAAAAGACATTTTACCTGTCTTCTGGGGAGGCACTTCTCTGGCGAGTATGGTAAGCTTCCTTCCTTTCATATCTAGATCCAGACTTTAAAACATAAAAGCATTCACATTTTATATAATAACTATTAGAGAACTTAAATGCAAAAATGTATACTCACAAAGAACTAATGTGACTATTTTTCACTTGTATCTGCAGCCCCATAACTGTACCGGCGACTCTTACAAACTGTGTTAATATTGCACTGAGAAACCAGCTATTTTAAACCAGCTTTGCCCTCTTTTGGAAAAAACTATGTTTTTCTACTATTGTATTACATTAAATGGGAAATAGTATTAAAATGTAATCAATATGACTGTGTTAAATTGTATACTGTTTGTTTTTACTTCATTTTATTATTCTAGTTTATCTATTGTATGGATTGTAACCAACTCTGATTCCTGAAGGTAATATCCAGGCTACAAATATTTTAATCAAAAAAATACAGCATTTGACATAAAACATCAGTAAAAATTGCAGTTAGCCAACTACCAAGCAGTAACAACTACATAACTGTTCTCAATAAAATATTAATTACAACTTGATCATAACCCAATCGCATTATACAAATAAGTATAGATTTCTTCTCAAATAAAGTTTAGTATTGGGGCTTCAATCATACTTCCATAAACTCAAACTGCTTTCCACATAAGACTTGTATCTCAGAAACATCCAAAAACATTGAGAGAATTGGTGTCAGAATTAAGGGGATAGACTAGAAACTGGGAGTTCTAGTCCTCTTTAGGCATGAAAGGAACCATTTGCTACATGTACAGTTGCAGAATATGTGCTTTTCATGCAAAAAGTCAATCAATCAATCAGAATCAATCAGAATAGAGCTGGAAGGTCTTCTAGTCCAACCGCCTGCTCAAGCGGGAGACCCTATATAACTGTCAGATATGATTGAAAAAATGTTGTTTGACAGTCATCCTAGATAATGCTGGCTGAAATGGTTTGACCTAGCATAGTCCTTCTCCAATAATTTACTCATAGGTTATTACTTGTCGCAATAAAGAAAAGGAGTACCAGCAACATTTACTCATACGCTCCCTCTTTAAATTTACGTTTTCATGATATAATAATGAAAATAATAGTAATAGAATTAGAATGGCTGTGGCAAAACGAAACAATTGGTCAATTGCAAAAAGCAGCTTTACTTGGAATAGCATACATCCTGTAACAATACTTTTAACACATCAAACAACATCTGCCTATCTCAGGTCCTTGGGAAGGACTTGATAGGTGGATAAAAAAAGCCGAATCCAATCCGAACAACTGGTTGATTGTGTGACCAACCAGAATATATTAAATGTACATGCTACCTGACTCCCAACGACTCTGGACAGTTTACAAATTGTAAAAAGCATCTTAAAACAACAAGAATAAGTAAAACACAAAGCAAAGAAACAAAGCTGGCAGAGAAAATAATTGTTGCAGATGGGAACAAAAATAAATAAATAAAGTTAAAGGATGTCAATCTTCCTCACCAAAAGACTGAGCAAAAAGCTGCCCCTTCTGGGGCACTTGAAATACCAGTGTGGATTTGCTGAATTCATGAAATTTTCTATAGCAGGAAGGATCTGTCATCTATGCCATAACTCTGACAAGCAGCTCTTAGCTTTTGCATTAAGAAATGAGTGTTTACCTAAACATCAAAACTTTAGTCATTTAATATTAAAAATTTTAAAAAAACTTACATTCATTTCTGCTTCTCTTCATTCCCTCTTAGTCTTCCACTTTAAACTGAATTTCCAATGTAAGCGTTTCAAAATCAATGTGGAATGTTACTGTTATTCTTACAGCAAAAATAATTCATCTACAAAGAAAATAAATGAGATTTGCTGGTATTGCTAAGACAAAATCAAAGCAGCCATAAACTAGTATTGCTGTCAACAATAAAATTATCTGCTTTTCAGTTAATCAATTTGACTACTTTAATCTATACTTATCGGAGCTTTTACAGAGTAGTTCTCATATAGCAGTGATGGCGAACCTTTTAGAATGCCCCAAACCCCCCCCCACCCCGCCCCGCCCCCCACAGGGCCACCCATCGCCTCCACGGCCTGCCACAGCTATCGCTCAGGCAGCCCAGCAGCACCATGGCGGCCACACCCTCCACCTGCGCCCCACAGCATCATCTGCGAGTGATGGGATGCAAGGGCGGAGTCTTATCCTCACTGTCCAGCTGCCATGTCTTTGGCTACATTGCTCCGCATGGGCTGCGCCCGGGGGTGACTCTTCTCTGGGGGGCCGCAAGGGGAGGCGGGGCTGGGTTGACGGCGCATGTGCCCACAGAGAGAGCTCTGAGTGACTCCTCTGGCACGTGTGCCATAGGTTCGCCACCACTGTCATATAGCATATGTTAATATGAGAATTTGCTCATACTGGATTGATAAACAAGAGAATGATGTCTGTAAAACACAATCTTTATTTTTGCATCAGGTTTCTTAAGTTTCAATTCTGCAGTAATGAGAAGTGGTATGTGAACATAGCAAGCACTATCCAGCTGAATGCAATGGCTTGCTGCTTTGTTTTTGTGCACTATTTGGTTAGTGTCTTTTGCATCTCTCTGGTTTTTTTTACTTTGTAATTATTATTGCTAAGAGGTACTTTCCCCTCCCTAATAAATCTGTATACTGAAAAGAATGTGCAAATGAAGCATGCTGGTGATAACATTTCAAGCGGAGAAGGAAATGCTTTATTGACACAAAACACTGTGCCCGTTTCTGCTTAAATGAAGAGACATCATGGGCAATCAGAAAAAATGTTAATCATATAAAAGCCAGGGGTTTTTTTTAAGCAAGAACAAGTGTAGAAAGTCTATTAGAACAAGACAAAGAATTTGAAGAGATAGAACATCTGTTAAATGTTTTGGCTGAAGATCAGATAATGAAGATATTGGGGGCCAATTTTCTCACAGGACCTGAGAAGCCATTAACAATGGTGTTTGGTGGCTTCGACCTGATTTCATCTGTGATTCAAAAGGCTTCGATGCTATAAAAGAGCTCCCCAAAATAAAAGCAAATTGTATTGCTCTCACAAAGCAGGCTGGGTTCAACAATGTAGAGCAGGGGTGTCAAACTCGTAACGTCATGTGATGTGTTGCGAGGTATCACAACTTTTTTTCCCCATTGCTGGCAATGGGGCGGGCAGTTTCGTCATGATGCATCTGGCCCACGGGCCAGCAGTTTGACACCCCTGAAGTAGAGGAAGACTTACTTAGATAAGTTGTTTCAGTCCCATACGCAGAGAACTTTCAATAAAAGAGCTGCAACACTTGCTGCTGAGGGCCAAGTGGAAGGTGAAGAAGAAAAGTCCAGCAAGCCAGTATAAAATCTTTAAAAAAAACAAACACCTTCAAAATGTTCAGTTCTGAGAAAATTTTACATAAAATTGAAACAGCTAGAAGATAACAATTGTAATGCAGAAAGGAACAGAATAGTAGTTTCTGAAGTTCAATTTTTATTTGGAGTCATGTAGGCAACTTTGGATAGTGAGATGGGCAGCATATAAATATAGAATAGTCAAATAAATTTCTTTTTGAAAGAAAGATGGCAAAAACAATAGACGTTGTTAAGCAAAGACCCAAGAAAAAGACAGAAGATCTACCAAGACCCTGTAGATGTGGTATGATCATACTTCATACAAAGCTTGCATCCATATCTCCTTCACTTACTAATTGTCATCATTTTCCATCATTTGTCTCCATTGCTCTACAGCAGGGGTCTTCAAACTTGGCCCTTTTATGACTTGTGGACTTCAACTCCCCAAATTCCTCAGCCAGGCACGCTGGTTGAGGAATTCTGGGAGCTGAAGTCCACAAGTCATAAAAGGGCCAAGTTTGAAGACCCCTGCTCTACAGCCTCGCTACCTTCCATGCCTTAGGCTTCAAACTGTCATCACTTTTTTTCAAGGTAAGACATTAATTCTGCATTACTAAATTATGAATTTAACATGTTTTTTTCAAACTATGTAAGTACTTTATTAGGATCATTTATTGCTTTATTGATATATATGATCAGTCATCATCTCCAGTTACTTTGTAGGACAATGTCTTAGACTGCATTTTTCCCCAAATAGGCTTGTCAGCAGACTTTATGATGGAGATGAACATTTTTTTAATATTTGGAGGGGCTATACTGTACTGTAGGCTTTTACAAAGGGTAATGATGGGCAGGGCTGTGCAGGACATAACCATTTTCTATATTGCTACATCTCATGTATCCACAGATATGAACGCTCAGAGGGGAAAGGAGAGGCTTTAACTCCCCTCCTTTCATTAATAAAAACTGTTTTTTTCTTTGTTAATAGTGACAGAGGAAGCTCTCATGGGTGGCTGAAGACTGAATGAAACCTGTAAATTGTCCATCTGGATTCCTGCACCTTTTTCTCTTGGCACTTTGGCAGGATGGGTCACAAAATCATCTATCTTTCATTACATAATAATGTGGATAAGGTATTTTTTAAAAAGATCAAGCCATACTCCAGATACTACTTCCTTATGGGAACCAAAATTACATTTATCTGATTCATTTATAGATCATCCTAAAAGACGGCACAGGAAAGCATACACTTTGAACATGGATACAAAACCTACAGACTATTCTTATGCAGACTATTCCTACATCCTCTCCTCAGTTTCTGCTGATGTTCAAAATGTAAATAAAATTTAATTCTAGTACTAGTACAGGGAGTCCTCCGTAAATGACCATTTGTTCAGCAACTGTACGAAGTTATGATAGTCGCAGTGTCTTGCGGTCATGTGATCGCAATCCAGATGCTTGGTGACCAGCTCACAATTACAATGGCTACAGTAAACTGTGGCCACATAATTGCCATTTGGTACATTAACTGCTGGCTTCTGACAAGCAAAGTCAATAGAGAAACCAGCAAGAGGTCACAAACAGCAATCATGTAATGTTGCACCTAATGATCATGGAATCATTAGGTGCTGGAATTGTAATAAGTTGGCAACATCACGTTGTGCTTTATGATCACATTGGTTAGCAAAAAAAATTCCTGGTGCCAATTACTGTCATTAAGTTGTATGCTGAATGTAATCCTAACTAGGAAAAGAGACAAAGGTGGTGGTGCCGGTGGGGGGGGACCCACAGCCACTTAAAAGATGAGAGAAACAAACTTAGGAGAGACCTGTCCTAATGGATGAGGCAGTTAAAACTCAGTGTGAGATCTGTAATTTCAGATCTGTAAGCTTCTGTTAATGTAGCCTTACAATAAACTTAGCATTAGTATCTGAATTGTATTGACAATGTGGTTGTGCTGTTTGATGAGGGTGGTATCTACTTGTGAAACAAAGATGAAAGGGATATAAGAATGTGACTATAGTAATTTTAATCCTATCTGCTTCCTTGTTTAAAAAACAACAACACCCTTCCCCACATTTCACAAAACTGCTATGCCATCGGTGTCAACATTCAGCAACTGAAAATGAGAAATCACAGCAGCCTTTATACATCAAGAAAACCCAGACAGCTCTCCGTTTAACAGAAATCTTGAAGTCGCCTTCACGTTGTCTCTTAAGTCTCATGACGAAACAAAAACCCCAACTAGGATAAACAGTTGTGGAGAACAGGGAAAAAGGGAAAAAGAAAAGTTTCTACGAACTGGCAAGGCTTTTTATCGGATCTCCTTCTAGGGAAGCAGAGGCGCTGGGGCAGCATGGTAGGCAAATCATGGTACTTCCCCACACAGCCCGATTTCAGGCGGGGAAAGGGAGATCGCGTAAGGTCACGTTCAGACATGCACACACCGACACGTGTTGGAATGAATACTGAGTCGCTTCCTACAAGCACCGCTTCTGAGAAGCTGCGGGTGGCGGGGAAGCTCCCTCGGATCGTCCCGAAGCACATGCTTCGTCCACGCCACGCTCGTGACCCCATCGCTTCCCCCCCCCCGGCGATCGAAGGGGAGGGCTCCAAACGGAGAAGAAGCCAGAGCTCCGGCTGCTCCCCGCGGCCTCATAAACTTACCTGACCCACACCAACTTCCACCATAAGCATATGCCCGCTTGCAGGAATGACGCCACTTCCGCTTACTTGCCCACCAATTAGAGGCAAGACTAAAGGCGGGACTTCCTTTTTCCCCCTCTCCTTGAATTATTGCTTATGTTAAGTCCAAGCAGTCAACATTGGGAAGGAAAGGGTTAAGAGAAACGTCGCCCAAAGAGCGGGTTCTTGCTTACCTAACAGCAGCTTCCGGCGTTCTAGGCTATCAAACACGGATTGACTACGTTTCCCAGCATTCCTTATGTTCGATACTTTTAGAGAGTTATCTACTGCTG